GCATGTCGCTGTTCTCATGTCTCCTCTGAGTGGGTGTGAGCCCCATTAGTCTTTACGGTGCAGCCTGCAGCACAGAACAGCTGCATCAGGGCGGGTCCTATAGGAACCGGGCCTCCGTCTGAGCCAAGCTCCTGCAGTACTGGTGTCTCATTAGAACTCCACCTATTCTCACAGTCCAGTGGCGGTCTCAGAGCGCAGCGGGATGACACAGGAGATGGGAACGTTGGCTGGAATCGTACACATTTACTCATAGCTGACACGTTCTCCAGCTCCGCATCTACTTCAGCTGCAAATCTGAGACTGCATCGCGCACAAACCTCGATGCCTTTTTGTTCTCCTAAAACATTGCATTTTCATTGTTTCTTTGCCTCTGGTTTGTTTCAGACCTTGGGCTCTTCCTCCTGTTCTTTCCTTCACTCTGTTGCTGAATGTTAAGCTTTGCAGTTTCAATATTTAATCATGTTGTAAAAGCACTTTGAGCTGCATTTGTGCGAAGGTATACAAATAAACTTGAACTTGAGCTGAAGAGGTCGCCGGAAAACAAGACGAGATCCCGACAACAACGGCAGCAAACAGCAGAAAACAGACAAAAAGCCTCAGCAAGATGTTTCTCTTTAAAAACAAGAATCAATATCCTCTCATGATGTCAGTGGGTGAGGCCGTCCTGAAGGTGCAGTAATAAATCCCCCAACGCCACTACACGAGCAGCCATATGGTTTCTATTATCCACAGAGGACAACGCATGTGTTAAAGGGTCAGTTCACCCGAATCACAGACAATAGCGAGAAAATATTTTCTCACTTATCCCAAGTGGTGTGCACAGATAGACGGTAGGAACAATGCAGCTTCACACACAACGACGTACAACAGCTACGCTCGTCTGCAGCGCAAAACTTATCTGTTTCACAGAAAAGGCTGTAAAATTGTGGGATTTTTCTCGGTGTCAAATGTCGTCTGTGCTGTATGACACAATTAGAATTACAGAAATCCCAAAGAAAGAAAGAAAAAGAAAGTTAAATTCATGCAATTATTTATTTTGCATGAATTTAACTTTCATTTTTTCTCGATGCTACCAATAGTGAGGGGAAAAAAGTGTCTCTAGAGTCAATGGATGTTTTACTATTTCACATTTTTAAATTGGTTTTCATACTTTTATGTGATTACAAAGCCTGCAGTTTAGCCAAATACTCATTTTTTTCACATGACTGTCAGTCACAGATGAGTCAGTCATGAGTTTTGCTGTGTCGTGCAGAATCTGGTGCAAACTCTTTATTTTTGGTGAATTTTTAAATGAGTCATGTTAAAATAAGATTACATGTTTAAGCTTAGATTTGTAACATCACATATGACTATTTTAAGGACTGTGTAAGATTTGAAAATCTGACATTTCATTCTGTTTACATTTTTTGAAAAATAGTGTAATTTTGACTTTTATGTGTAAACCTTTCTTTAAACTCGTACGGACTGATACTTGATGTATTCCTACTTTCATATGTTCTATACTTATCTTTTAGGGGTTTTTTTAATTATTATTTTCAGTGTGTTTCTGCAATTTTTCTATCTTTTTTAACACTTTACTGTACCTAATAGAATTGCATTTGTGTATGAAATGTGATATTTACAACATAAACTTGCCTTGTCTTTATTGGTCTGCATCCACATTACGTGATTATAAGCTTTCTTTGTTTTTTTTTTTGCATGAAAAGAGCAACAATGTCCATAAAAGGAGTTTGGAGGAAATGATCAAATGCAGGACTTTTATCCAAGGACACTGGAGCTGGAGTTCAGTGTGAGATCCCTGTTTTTCTTTAACACTTTGTTGTGTTTTCAGTCGCTGTTTGCTTTTGTTTGTGCTCCAAAACTCCCTGGTTAAGTTTAAGAAAAGATCATGGTTTGGGTTCAAATTCACCGCTAACCACAAAAGTCCGGTTGTTTTCGAAGTTGATAGAGTGGCCACACAAGAAAAGCCTCTAAAAAAACAATTTTACAGCCTTATTGGTGAGAATAATACGTCTTTTTTTTTTTTTTGCTGAGACTGAGCTCCCACCACATGTAGCACCACAAATGAAATTCCATTAGCATTCCTCACATTGACTTCCTCTAGTTTTCATCTTAAACCTTCAACAAATAGAAGCAAACCAATCTGCATGGCAAGATACATCCATAGGGATACGTTTAACAGCATATTCTGTGTGATTTCAGTGCAACAGCCTGTAAAATGTGCACATTTATATCTGTTTGAGCCTCAGTGCAGCCCAGTGTGTGCGGGGACATGATCCATTATGTCTCACCACACTCCGGTGTCATAAGTTTATCGGGCAGCATCGGCCCCATTAACGCACAACAAGGACTATTGTCACACAGCAGCAGACGCAGAGAAAGAAAGCGTCAGAGCGAAAGAGGAATATTCTCACTGGGGTTTTGTGCTCTCGCATGCCTCACATACCAACAAGCAGCAGTGTAGGCCGGCCGCCTGGACGCGATTATGCAACAGGCAGATGTTTGTGGGAGAGAGCGAAAGTTAAAGAGTTCATTCTGTTGGGACCTGCAGCAAGGGATTGTGGGATAGGTGGAGGCCCAGCTGACCGAGGCCAGTGTCAGGGTGGTGCTCACTCTGGGGACACACAACTCTCCTCACTCTTACTTTACTCTCACACCCTTGAAATGTACACGTAAGACTCTGGCACTTTCTGCAAAAGCTTCTGCAAGGTTTGCATCAGCAAAGGACGACACGTGTGAATCACAAACCCGTCACAAATGATATCATGACTGGAATTCTTAGACCAAACATTTTGCCTTTTATCTCTTTCAACAGCGGGTAGAATTATAAATCTGAATGAATGTAACAGGGATTTAAACAGCATTATGCACATTTACAGATTTATCATTTTGTTTTTTGGAGTCTACGTTTGTGTGCTTTTATGTTCAAAAAACTTGAAAAACATTTTCTCAGTCTTCGTTTTAGCTCCTGTCCCTTTAAGGGCCCCCTCCCCAAAAGCCCCGACTGCTCTGATTGGTCAGCTGTCCAAACAAAAGTAAACCAGCTAGAATATTTATTTATTTATTATTTTTCCCCAAAAAAGTTCTAAGAAAGTTCTACAAAGTTCCACTAACGGTCTCAGCCGGAGGTTTTCGTTTATTCTTAGAACGGTCGTCTAAAAGGCAGAATAACTAAAGATGTTCTTTAAGAATGCAAGAATGTTCCACGGATGTTAATTTAGTACTACTGGAAAGTATAAAAAACAAACAAACAAAAAAAACATTCTCTCATCTTAGATCTCACTAACATCTTGAAAACGTTTTTCAGAATGTTCCACTGAGAACATACTTCCTTTGTGGAAATGGCTCGTAGAAGAACGTTCTGTAATGTGGGCAAAATGTTTTACTTTCACATGTCAGAAATGTAATGAAATGTTCTATGTAACAACACATTTTGCCATCTGAGGCCTCAATAACATCTGAAAAAACTTTTTTTTAATGTTGAATTCAGAACATTCCTGCTTTGTTATTGTGGAACAGCGTTCTAAAATGCGTTCTTCAACAACATCCTCAGAACATTGCAGCCAGAATGTTTCACCTTTGTTAATGTATCACGTAAAAGGAACGTCTTATAAAACGTATGAGGCCTCGATTACATCTGAAAACATTTTTTAAAGTGTTGGTTTGAGAACGTTTCTGACTACATCGTCCGACTGTTGACGATAAAATGTCATATTAACTTTATAGGAACATTACTGCAAGTACTTTTTTTTTTTTTTTTAACATTCATTGAACGTTTGATTAAAACATCTTTAAAAAATAAAAATAAAAAAATTAGCACTTGTCGGTAATATTAGTCAGCGTTGTGGGAACGTTCCCTGTCAGCAGTTGGTTTTGTCCAGTGACCCCGGATCAGAGTATAGAGACGTCGCTCTCAGAGAAGCAGCTCTTCATTTGAGACCAAACTAGCCGCTAGACAGGCATTATGCAAATGAGCTACGTGATGACATCGATGAGTCACGGAAGGAAAACCTGGACTTTAAACGAGGTGTTTCAGGGATGTAGTGAGCAGTGTTTCTGACTCCCTTTGGTGTGAACTTTGTAAGTTTGCAGAGCTTTCACATGCACACAAAGCAGGAATCTACAGCTAAAGGAAATGGAAAACCAAAAAAAGTAGAATATGGGTTCTTTAGAATTCTCTGTGTGATTCTCAACATACATTATTTAATGCTGCAGTGTTGCAAATATGGTAATGTATTCTACATTTGAGTCCTTTTCAAAGCTTCCAGTGTAACTAGAACTTGCCTGCATAATCTACTGGTTCCAGCAGACGGAGCCACTGGAAGAACCAACAGAGTTCACGAAGCCCAACTCACCTGATCGAGCAGGTTGCTTGGCGACCGGCAGCGACACCTCGGTGAGCGGCAGGATGTAGATGTCCGGGCTGCCCTGGGAGGCCGGCGAGGCCAAGGTGGACATGTCTGCGTGGTACTCCTCCCCGTCCACATTCTTGAATTCCTGCAACACAAACAAACGAGCGGGTCATGCAAAGGAGACGGCTGCTTGGGTTAGACTGACAGAGGCTTTTAACTCCCCGGCCTCCGTCTAAGTCGAGGTGTTTTGACTCAACGAGATGCCTGAATGTGCAACTGAGAGTTCTCTCAACTCTTGGAAAACAAAACTAGCATTTTAGCAGACTTCCCAGCATGCATTACAGCGCATTAGAGCGAAACCTCTCCAGAGACGCCTCTGTTTGGTAATGTGAGGAAAATATTCATGATGGAAACTTGCTGTGCGTTAATGCATGTAAATTAAATCATGGCGGTTTCTTTTCATAATAATGAAAACAAAGCTAACCACGATGAAGGTCAGCCCTTACATTTATAGTGTGCCGGCGTTCGTGGGAGCAGCTCTGTGATTTGTCTTTGTCCTGACTTTGGGACAAAGCTTCTCAAACGGGAGCGGTCACATAAGTTATTCATGTCAACTGCAGAATTAAAATGGAAATCTGTCCACGTAAGACAGAACAAATGGGTGATTCAACCTAATATCTTATCTGTATTCATTCAGTTTATTCTCTTGTGCGCTTAGTGTTGTTTGTGTCTTTGTCAGCAAGATTATGCACAATCTAACAGGCTGAAATTAATGAAACTTGGTGGACAAGTGGAGCTTTGCCAAAGGAGGAACTCATTAAACTTTCCTAATAATAAATAAAGAACTGTGTGTGTGTGTCTGTGTGTCTGTTCTTTGGTTTTCTTGACAACAGTTCATCTGATCCTCCTCAGACTTGGTGGGATTTTGGCTGAGGATCCGAAATGCTGCAGTGTCCATTTTGAAGTCATTCGGATAAACTGTTCCCAAGAAACACAAACATTAAACAACAGTCGGTAACTAAGGTAAGGATGGAGCGACTCGGTGATGTAATGATGTAACTGATGATGACGATGGTGTGTCGCAAAGAAAAAAACAACTTGCCTACATGGTTATCTAAAGTGTGGGAGTATTTTAGACTGAGACTAACAGTGCGGTATTCTGTAAACCCTGGAAAAGACTCAGTACACAGTTCAACTGCTACACACGGAACGAAAGCATGTACAGTTATTCTT